ACAATTCAATATTTTCCAAGTACAGATACAGTAAGGCTGGTTTCTACTTGTTTTTAGCAGTTGGTTCTTTCCCAAGTGTCCTCTAAGTAACTTCCAGTGTCTACCAGTTCGTAGTAATAGTTTAAGCACTGGGCACAGAGGAAACAACTATGCACAGGTCTTTTTGCATGCACACTGCATCACCCCTACAACCGTGTGTATTTTATATATAAATCCATGGTCTTTATGTTGTCCTTGGAACATCTTCCTGCATTGCAAACTGTGAAAGCTCATGATAAAGTACATCCCCTAGTCTTAAAAGTGCTACAGTTCTTTGGCCTTTGTTTATATTGATTTTGTTAAACCTGCTGAATCAGAGTAAAATGGCAATTTCTTTGAATATTGTTGAATATTCCGAGCCAATTAACATTCCTTTCTCAGATCCAAGACTCTGCAAGTTACTACCTTAAGGCGACCCTAGAGATAGCTTTAGTCACAGATACTGTATATCAAAAATCATTACAATAATTTGCCCTAACTGTTATTGATTTACTAGTTTGACCTCAAGCTTGTTACAATAATTAAATTAGGCTGCAGCATAACACCAATAACGCCAACAGTTTCTATTCTATTAGGAGGTGGCTGCTAATTCTTGCTGTCAAAAAGGCAAAAACCCAGCATAGTTACTGATTGATTGATTGATTGATTGATTGATTGATTGATTTGATTTGATTTATATCCCGCCTATCTAGTCTTGTTAGGACCACTCTAGACTCTTATGTAACTTCTTCACCTTTTGGTGTTTGGAAGACTAGACCCCCCCCCTCTTGCCCATTATCATGGATGGAGTGTGGTGAAGAGTTACCAAAGGTCACAGTACAAACAATTCCCCTCAGAGAATAACCAACAATCAAAGAATGTTCAAGGATGGTTGTTCCTTTAGGGTTTTTTTTTTGCCATCTGTCAGCTTTCCATGAAGTGAAGGGAGAGAATAAATCTTCCCAGAGAGGAAATTCAGTAAGTTTATAAAATGTTAAGACGTTTATAAAAAGTTATAAATGTTCAAAGAAATATCCATCCTGAATACCCATCTTGTCATATCTCAGATGACAAAGAACTGCAGAGCACAGCCTCTGAGGAACAATTTAAAGTACAGGTGTACTTCATCGGTTCCTAAAGGAAAAGCTCAGCTTTAGCCTCACCCTCAGCCTCTGACAACTTAGTTGATAAATAGCAGCTTACTGTAAGTATACCAGGTTTAATTATGGCAGAAAAAACACACCATTCTCAGTCCTTTCTTTAAAGTCAAAAGATGATCTGATGATGTGGGCAGGGCACTTACACTTACACAGTGCAGATCCACATGCTTTCCATGTCCCTCTTGACTCCTGAAGTCAGTTAGGGCGAAACAGTGGAATGGGTCACTCAGGTAATAAATGAATTACTGCATGAGGGATTTAAGCTTTCTTGCATGAAATAAATAATAATTTAGTCCATTCTCAAAAAATCCATTTTAGCAGCTGATGATGTAAATAATTACTGGCGCTGATATACCATTCTTGGGAGAACTGATAGTGTTGTGGTGGATCAGCTACAAATGTTCTTGGAAGATACCATATGAAGCAGGTTGCTTCATATGATCTAGTTGATAATGGAATACTTGTTAGGTTAAAATGATTGAATGGCACCAGAATGTGGCAGTGTTGATCAAACTGACATTACAGCCTACGTATGGTGCCTATGTGGACTGTGAAATAGCTCCCCATGGTAAAGGCTGAGGTTGGAAAGATTGTGCTTTTGTATTACAAAACACAGAATCCTCCAACAAGGATTTGGAACTGTTGTCCAAAAAAGTGACTTTTCAAACCTCTGGGGAGAGGTAACAGAAACTGTGGCAAGAACACAAGGCTCGAGAGTCAGCAGGAGGAGTGACAGAGGACTCTCAGTCTCAACACATCAGGTAGAAAAGAACCATCCAGTCCTTTGGCCTGGAAACCAGTGATGTTGGGGTGGCATATTGCATGACACTACTGGGCCCACAGAGGGTTTAGGATGGGAGAATCTAGCACCCTCCCTGGTGCTTCTCCATCCTTGCACTGAGGCCTTCCTCAGAGTGAGGCTTGGTGAGGTGGGTTGCTGTGGAGACCACTTATGCTGCCACCACAATTTGGGGTCCGGCACAGCTGTCCTGAAAGCCCATCAGTGACTTGCTCTGAATCTGAAGATTCCTCAAAAAGAAGCAATTTGCAGGTGGCTATTTTAGAAAGAGATGCTGACTGCTTTCCTGTGAGTTTTGGCATTTTGCCTCATGGGGGTCCTTATTACACTGGGGGAACATGGATTGGGGCACCTTTCTGAAAAGTTCAGGCTTTTCTCAATGCCTGGGAATGACTTGTTGAGAGAAAGGCTTTTGCTACAAAGGAATGGAAGCACCACCTGTGATGTATTTCTTGAGCAAATATTTAAGGGAGGGGTAAAGTTGTTCCCTGTTACTTTGTTAATTGGAAAATGACTTCAGCTAGGGTGAAGGAAGAGGAGGGGCAAAAACTGCTCTTGTCTTTGTGAACATTCAAGGAATTTGGAAGTCTGATGGGTGGACCATCTCAAAAGATCTAGAAGGAGGTGAACAGTATATAAAATTGTGTTTAAATGTTATTTTAGTTGGTTTAGTTATCTCTTAGGAGATACTATGCTCAATTGCTGTCTTGTCATTCTGTGATGCACTCTTGCATGTTCTGAGACTATGCTGCTACGTAAGTGTGTAATCACTGGGTAGTTTTCTTAGCTTTTTTACTTTCTTGTGTGTTTGCTCCTCTCTTAGCTTCTTATTAATTTTTTCTCCAAAATACTTTTGATGCCTTAAAATGTTTTTTTGAAATCTTTTGAATATTTTTCCTTTTTATTTATTTTTATTTTACTGTATTTCTACCCCACCTATCTGGTCTTGCGACCACTCTAGGCGGCTTCCAAACATGTAAAACAAATAAAAAACAACATATAAATGTAACAAATTAAGGGAAAAAATTAAGTCCATTATCTTTAATAAGATATTTAAAAATTCTGCATTCCATTGTTTGCATTTTTGGCTAAAGGGGATTTGTAGCATTTAAAACCAGTCCTTACCTTGACCATCTACTGGGAGCCTGTATGTATGTGCATGTGGTGGCAGATGTACTTTGCAGTCTTGGCATGAGAGTCAATATGCTTAACCTTGTGGATTTTTTGCAATTCCTTGGAAACACTGCTTATTTGGGTCACACTAGAATGTCGGGAAGTTGCCAGGTCAGGTAGATTTTCATGCCATCACCACATTTAACTCTCCTAGCCTCTATTTTCATGCCATCACCACATTTAATTCTCCTGGCCTCACCCACTCCAGGAACAACAGGGTAGTATGGCTCAATGGTTAGAGTGGAACCCCCCCCCCCATTCCAGGAACAACAGGGTAGTATGGCTCAGTGGTTAGAGTGGGACCCCCCCAACACTGGTGAAATCCAGGACACATTACATTTTCAAAAAGTCTAAAAGGAAGATAATGCCATCATCTAACAATATCAATTTAACAACATTTTCAGATCAAGTCTGAAATGGACTACTAATGATTGTCTGGGGAGCATTCAGCCCACAATGAAAGGAAGTAATGGAAACTAATGTGAAATTGCTTTTCCAACAGCTACAAAATTAAGAGGAAGAGAAAATGAATATTTTAGTGATCTGCTCCTTGGGCTAACCAATAGAAATAGAAGGAAGCTGCTACAAAGCTAATAAAGTTGAAAAAAATCTTCAAAAGGTACTTCATAATTGTAGACATGCAATGCTTTATCTCACACCCACAACTAAGAGAGCTTGCCATGCGAGGTGAAGATGTTTTTCTCATCTCAGTACATCTAGTAGCCTGGTAACTTTGTGGTTCTTCTCTAAGTGCTTTGTAAGTCTCAGACAGAGAAGAACAATGAGGAGGGCCATTGTGATCACTCTTCTCCTTTGCTGGATTCCAGGTAAGGTGATTACCTCCCTTTATATACACTCTGGGGCCACAGCAGCTGACTGTTCTAGCACGGAACATGCACATGCATGGGTTAATGTTGGAATAAGGGAGAGACATTGACTTTCATAAAAGCTGATCCACCCATTGGCTATCAAAGGGGTTCTGGACAACAAAGAGCAGGAAAAGGAGAACAATGTGTTGCATGACTCTGTTGCACTGAATCTTGCAATACCAACGCAGTTATCTTTTAATTGTCTCTATCAGAAATCACTCCTAAACAGATTTGTAAGTACCATGATGTGGCTGCACACCTGAACATCTCCTCCAATCGAGAGCTCTTCTTGTACACCATCCCCAAGAGGAACTGGGAAGGTGCCTTAGATGTTGGTCTAGACTTCACTTTGGTGTCCATCCTTTCAGTGGTAAGAAAGAATTGTCCAGTGACAATTCTTGTACAAATACTTGGGGAAAGAACTGCAGTTCCACCCCTGAAGTTGCATGGGGGTGGGGGAAAGAGGGAGAGGTTTTCATAGAAGATTAGCCTGAGGAAAGCAGGGCAAGTGCTCTCCTGTATCTGCTGTCATGGAGAGAACTGCAGATCCACCCCTGCAGTTGCATGGGTATGGGGGAAAGAGGGAGAGGTTTTCATAGAAGCTCATTCACCCTGCCTGCCCTTCCTCAGCATAGCACCACTTATGCCCTATACACAATAATGTGAAAGTAATTTCCACTGCAGAAAATGGATATCGCTTTGAATAGGACTGTGTGGAGCATGGGGCTGTTTCAGAGCTAAATTCCATGTTCCTCAAATACGAACTTTTGAAACTTTCTTCCTCTCCCCACCATCCACAGTCCATCATGCTGCTCCAAAAGATAACTTTGGATGGTTTCCCAGCTCTTCACAGCTCTAGTTTTGTGGCATTTTGCTGTTCTGCCGGGGAAAGCTACCATTGCATCTGGCCCCATCTTACTTCTCCAAAACATAAGGGAAGGTTTATACTCATAATTTTCTTTTCCTTTTTTTACAGGAGGAAAAATTGCAGGTGGTTACATTCTATTTCTGGCTATATGTGGTAAAGTATTCTTTCTTCTGTCTTGTGCATGGTAAAAAGATCAACAACTGCAGGAGGAATTCAAGCCAAAATAATTATTATTATTATTTCCCTCCCCACTACTTTTCCTCTTTACTAGATGTGGACAAATGAATTTATCTCCTGGAATCCTTTAGATTTCTGTAATATTTCCAGTGTTTCCCTTCCTATGAACCTTTTTTGGGTCCCTGATATCTACATAGATGAACGGTAAGGCTGCTTTTATTACATTTCGAAGCAAAGTTTGCTGCTTATATACCATCCTATAGCATTTAAAGCACTCTCTGGGCAGTTTACAATGTAATTACACAGGCTACACATTCCCCCCCCCCCGCATGCCAGTAATTTTGAATATGTTCCCAAACTGCCTTTGGGAGACTGGTTAAAATTGGTGCTTAGCCTGCTGGCTGGAGCCTTATATACTGAGTCGAAGTCACTATTCCCATGACCAGGTATTGAGGATGTTGTGAGGATAGAGAAAGGTTTACCAGCACTGCTTTGTGAGGCAAGCACAAATAAAGGTGGAATTGCTGGGACCTTGATAAGATCTTATAGACTGGGGACATTTTGGGATTGGGGGCTTCCTCTCTCTTGAGATCTGATGTGGGAAGATGTGGACTTTCACTGAAGGCTAGAGTGTCTAAGCTGTACCTCTATCTCTCTTCAACCTGAATGGCTTTCATGACATTTCCAGGAACTACACTTCACAGCAAACTTTCACCACATACCAGGGCTTCTATCCCAGCTGGCCCTTGCTGAGAGGCTTCCCAGCTACTGACAGTGCTGTGGTTGGGGTTCAACATGCAGCAAACTGGAGTTGCCCCTCAGGCAAGAACAGCATTGCTGTCTGGCCAGCGCTGGGGAGGTTTCCCACCTCAGCACTGGCTGACTGATGATGTCATTTTTGGTAGAAATGGGGAGAGTTCCTATGGGCTCCTTCTTCCCTACATGGCAAGTGGGTGAGGTTGTCCTAACCGCTGTCATTAGCAATGGGAAGACTCCCAGTACAGTACTGGCCAGCCTGGGGGCTGAGGACTGTTCCAGATCTTGCTTTCGTGCGAGGATTCACATTGAGCAGGATGTGTGAAGCAGGCAGTTTCACATCTGTTTTCAGATAACCCACAGTAAAAATCTCACTGCAGGTTATCTGAAACATGCGTATGTGAGTAAATAAACTAAGGTATTACCAAGTGGGAATTCTTGAAGCCAGTCTCTACACAGATCCCCTCCCCTTCACTGGTTGTTGCACTGAAGAGATTCTCCACCTCGAAACCACATCTCACTCACTGTCTTAATGGCTGAAATCAGTGGGGATTAGGTGAATCAACATCTATGTAAATTCCATTGATTCAATGGGTCTACTCCAGTTGTGACTTGCTCCTGGATTTCAGACAGTATGTCCAAAATATAAATCTTTCCTAATTACAGTCCTATGTCTTTAGGGCAGATGAAGACAAGTTCACAGCCAGCCCTTTTGTCAACATATCATCCAATGGTTCCATCATTGCATTTCAAGCACATCGACTCACCTCATCCTGCAACCTGGATGTCCATGCATTTCCTTTTGACGAACAAAAATGCAATTTAACAATAATGTCTTCAGCATATTCAGGTAACCCTAGTGACCACATCTGTGCTTTAGTGAGCTCTTGGAGTCTTTAGCTTTCTTTCATCATGCCTGCTCGTTTGAATCTACCGCCCCAATCTGTACTCCACATACTCATTCACATGCATCTCCAAAACCTTACCTTTCGTCTCTTTTCCATGTATGTTACCACAATACACCTTTCCTAGTCATCTGTATTTCCCTCTTTTGTTCATTCGTCACAAAACAGCTTGCACAAGTTGCATATTTGGACTGTAACTTCCACAATTCCCCAACTGGAATTCTTGGATTTACCATCTTCTAAGTTCTGTCCTGCACTCCTTTCTTCATTTTCCACATGGCCCTTATTTCCAGCATATTTTCTCTGCGTCTGACCAGGGTTCCCTTAGTTTCATTCTGAATTAATTCTGCGTTGCTTCCATAGGAGATTTGTTACCTGTGCTGGGCATTGCTAGTCAGAATACTTTTTATACTTTGATACAAATTTCAATACATTTTGAATAAAACACAACTACATCATGATTTCATGCAGAAACTGCTCAAACAGAACATCTACAAAAACCCAAGGAAGATATAAACAGGAAGGCAAACATTCTAAGACTGCAGAGCAGTGTGTATTCCTTGGTTTTTCAGTGTATGTTTGTTACTGTGGATGCTTCCAGATGTAAGTTTTATTGTGCAGCCTCATGGCCTCATGGAACTTTATGGGAAGTCCAGGCAACAGCATCTTCAGTTGTTGGCCACTCCATGTTTTCCCATTATGTCTTCCTTTTTTTACTCGATAATATCTCCCGAAGAAAACATACAACAAAGCTATAGAATGCCTTTGAACTGTGATTGATGGGTGCTCTCTCTGGAAGCACAATGTGACTGAGATTTTCTTTTCTAAAGAAGTAACTATCTGTATCATTTTCCTTTCACTGACTCTAGATGAAGATATATTAATGAAGAGCGTTAAAACATCCAAGATGGCAAACCAAGATAGTCACAAAAATTATTTAACTAATGGAGAATGGAAATTTGAGAACCTGAGGATCATAGAGGACACCGTACACTATGATACGTTCAGCTCCAGCGTAGTTACTTATGAGGTATACAGTTCCTAATGCATTTCTTAGGTGGGAAATATGAGAATAAGAAGGAAATATATATATATTCCTCTGTACCAAGTTTGTGAGGATTAATGCTTATTGGCTGTCTGCCTTTATAAAGGGACTTTTTAAAAGAGATGCTGCATTAAGGGTGTTAATCTAAGAAGAAGTGAACTAAAAGGAGTAGGGTGGTGTTGCTTATTTTAAAACTGCTTTGCTCTTTATGCTAAACAGCCATTCAAACAGTAGCAATGCAAACACTAAATAAGTCTGAGGGTGAAACTGCAGTCTTACAGGAGTAAGAGACACTGTCCATGGTAATGGGTGGGGTGCTCGGCTCCCAAAAAGAACATTTAAAGTTCTGCAGCTGTTAGTAGCTTTATTCTAGCCATTGTACCAAGATATAATCCTAAACATGGTTAGTGTTTTTTTTCAAGCAAAAGATACCGAGTAAAGCCTTTCAGTTTTGCCCAGCTTGCCTTTCAGTGGCAGGAATGTATTTTAGGAGAGAGATCCATGATACCTTTTGTAGGCTCCCGATCTCAGTTAGGCCATTGCCTTTAGTTGTATTGGGGAGGGCGTCTCATTATGAAGGCTGAAGGGAGACTCATCTGCCAATCTTGCTGGCTTTTGTGGGTAGAATGGAAGAAAAACAATTATCAGAAAACAGATAGACACGCACAAACACATACATATCCATTTGACTTAGGCAGCAAAATATTTAAGGCCAGCTCAACTGCCCATACTCTGAAAATATCCTTCCCCCTGTTGGAACCAAGTTTTGTTTTGTTTTCTAACACAGCTGGTTAACCTTGAGAAAAGAAGACTGAGGGGAGACATGACGGCACTTTTCAAATACTTGAAAGGTAGTCATAAAGAGGAGTGCAGGACCTATTCTTGATCATCCACGAGTGCAGGGCATGCAAAAATGGGCTCAAGCTGCAAGAAGCAAGATCTAGGCTGAGTATCAGGAAAAATGTCTTGTTAGAGCAGTACAACAATGGAACCAATTACCTCACAAGGTGGTGAGTGCTCCAATGTTGGAGGCATTCAAGAGAAAATTGGGACAACCATCTGCCAGATCTGCTTTGATTTGGATTCCTGCATTGAGCAGGGGGTTGGACATGATGGCCTTATAGGCCCCTTCGAATTCAATTCGATATATGATTCTGTATAACTGTATTATCATAACAGTCTTGAAAAGGCATATATTTAAGATGTAGAAGTAAGGAAGGTTCTGCTTGCTGAATTATTGTCAGCTAAGCTGGTAAAGGCAAATTAACTGACTCTCCTTTCAATCACAAATCCACTCTGGCAGAGAATTAGCACCACACCGGAGACCTATTCCAGGGCTGTTTGGATCCACTTCCCAGTTTTCCAGAACATGAGTCATTGTGCTGAGAATATTATATTCTTTCGAAAAAGCAGAGATCATAATCTCATCCATCCTTCAGTTGCCGCTGAGAATATTATATTCTTTCGAAAAAGATCATAATCTCATCCATCCTTCAGTTGCTAAGAATTAGTAATAACTATGGAGGAATTTGAAGGATGTGGTGGTGCTGCGGGCTAAACTGCAGAAGCCTGTGCTGCAGGATCAGAAGACCAAGCAGTCGTAAGATTGAATCCATGCGATGGAGTGAGCTCCCATTGCTTGTCCCAGCTCCTGCCAACCTAGCGGTTCGAAAGCATGCAAATGCAAGTAGATAAATAGGGACTACCTCGGTGGGAAGGTAACAGCATTCCATGTCTAAGTCGCACTGGCCATGTGATCACGGAAGATTGTCTTTGGACAAAATGCTGGCTCTATGGCTTGGAAACGGGGATGAGCACCACTCCCTAGAGTTGAACACGACTGGACAAAAATTGTCAAGGGGAACCTTTACCTTTACTTTTCCTATGGAGAAATTTATGCTATTTATTTTTATTATTGTCATAAAACAATGTTGTTCTTTGTTGTAAACTTTGTTATGATCTCTCTCTCTCTCCCCTCCCCCCCACCAGGTTACTATGACAAGGCGATCCATTTTACATGTGTTAGCTCTGATCTTGCCAACCTTTTCTCTTTTCTTGTTGGACATGGCTATTTCTTATGCACCTGCCTCTCCTGAAGAAAAGATTGTCTTCAAGGTGACTCTGATCCTGGAAGTCTCATTTTTGTCTATGATTCTTAATGACAAGTTGCCAACAACATCAAATAACCCACCAGTCATAGGTAAGTGCTTTTACTGAGGGGATTACTTAGCAGTGAGCAGAAGTTCAAAAAGTTCCAGAGGGGCCCTCTTGACCAAGGACTCTTGGGAGTAGTCACCTGAAATAGGAACATGTCCAGTAGAAAGCTTTCAAATCTTTTTGGCTTGATTTCACAAAACAAATTCACACTAGGTTTCAATGAGCAGATTTATGGTTAGCACCCTTCCCCCCCCCCATTTTATTTTACTGAGGACATGCTCTGTGAATCATCATGATCTATTATTTACAGAGATATCTAAAATGTGATAGACATTACACACAAATAGTATTGTAAATAATTCTGCTAGGCAGAGTGACACAGGTCCCTCATGCAACAAATTTGACTGTCATGGAACAGCAGCAAATTGTTAATGTTTAATAGGTTATTATCGTTGTTTCACTGCTGGAAATAGGGAAAGATACCTGAAAGATTGTCTGCCTTGTGTGCTTGGGTATTGGCTTTGGGTATTATGTACATTTGTATGAGGAAGGGAATGCCATTTGCTATTCTACCTCAGGAAGAAAAATGTTGTGGGCAAGCCCTATGCTTAAGCATAGCAAATTCCATTAGCTGCTACAGTCGTGCCCTGCTTCATTATTACCCCGCATTACGACAAATCCGCTTCACAACGATGTTTTTGCGATCGCAAAATGATGTTTTAAATGGGTTTTTTTCGCTTTGCGAAGATCGGTTCCTTGCTTTGGGAACTGATTCTTCGCATCACGACGATCAAAATAGCTGATCGTTGGGTTTTCAAAATGGCCACCGGGTGCTCAAAATGGCTCCCTGGTGTGCTTAGGGATGGATTCCTCGCTATACAGGCACCGAAAATGGCCACCGTATGGAGGATCTTCACTGGACAGTGAGTTTTTAGCCCATTGGAATGCATTAACCAGGTTTTAATGCATTTCAATGTGTTTTTTTTTTTTTTGCTTTATGACGTTTTTGCTCTACAGCGATTTCGCTGGAACAAATTAATGTCGTTAAGCGAGGCACCACTGTATAGGAGACTTAAGTCTGCATTGCTAGAATGGATAGTAAAAAGAATTGAGACACCCACCCACCCACCCACCCACAGAAGTTAGAATCTGTATTTGCTCCCCCACACAAAAAAGAGAGACTGCTGTACAAATTAGATTGCAATTTGTTGTGTTTGTAGCAGTGCTGAAGTTCTTTGGACTACAATTCCCAGACGCCCTAGCAAGTATAGCGTAGTCAATGCTTCGGGGAGTTGTACTCCACTAGTGTCTGGGGTACAAGGTTGGAACAGTTACACATGTGGAAAGCACTACTACTTCCACAAGGCCTAGCACCAGATATTTTCCAGTGCCTCCTGCCAACTACGCATCCTTATGTCTCCCAAAATGTTTTTTTGAGGGGTGGGGAAACCTCACCTCCAGAACAGTGTGAGATGTAGTCTAGTCTAGTGGTGCATGAGGGGAAACTGGTGATGATCAAATCTTTTTTTCAGTCAGTGTGTGAGGCCTGTTCCATTAATTTATTTTATTTATTTATCTATTTTATTTGTATCCCACCCATCCGGTCTTGCAACTACTCTAGGCGGCTTCCAATACAACATACAACATCAAGGCAATTTTGCTTAGTCATTAATTGTGATATATCCCTTTAATAACTATTGATGTGTGGATTGCTTTTATTTCATACAGATCAGAGTAAAGAGTTTTCTCGCTTAGCAAGTCTTTATACTTTTTAGTTTTACTGGTACATACTGAATTGCTTTAGGTAGAAAGGAGATTTTCTTGAAGGAGGGAAGGAGAGAACCGAGGGCTATGTATGTATGTATGTATGTATGTATGTATGTATGTGCTTTCTTAAGGAGGAGGCACCAGTTGTATCATGATACATGGTAAATCTAGTACAGTACTGAAAAAAAGCTCTATTGTGCCCTCTTCCCTTGTTGATATCCTAAGCACGTAGTTATTTTGGCCAACAGTTAATCCAAGGCTGTCTTCAGGCAACTGCCACTTTGCCACTGAGGTTGCATCAATGGCTTGGTGCTCACAAAGCTGATGTGGTTCACACAGAACCTTCATCGCTTTCACCGTTCCATCTAGAAACTGTTATTCACATGTCCTCTAGTACGTATTCATTCTGAGTAACTTCTACTTTTTTAAAAAAGTGATCTGAAACACACGGAACCCCAATCGTAATTTTTACTGCATTCGCATCTGCTTGCAGGCCAGGAATCTACTCATGTAGGAGTGCCAATCCATCAGTTTTTGCACTACTTCTGTGGCCCAGACAGGATGGGCTCTACCACTAGGCAGAGTGAGGTGGGGCCCCAAGTGACAACTGCCATAAGCCAGACGCAGCAGTTACATGTTGCCGGACCTGTGCCCTCTAGGCTAATGTGCTGCTTCCAGGTACACTGAAGGGAAACTAAGGGTCCTCCTCTCTTCCATTGTCTGGCCCCAAATAGTCTTCCCCACTATTCTTCATGATATGTGAAGTGCACAGTAGGTGAGTCATGTCTTCAATAAAAGCCTTGGAGGGCCCATCTTCCACCAAAACTCTTTCTTCTTTGATGTAGCAAAATTTTTCACCGGCATGTTCATGTTTATGGTGCTTGGCATCTTGGAGAACGCCTTCATACTGTACCTCAGGGAGAGGAAACCAAAGTTTCAGTACTTCAAAGGAAAGAAATTCCTGAATAGATTCCTGAGAACAGAGGAGGAGAAGTCCGAGGATCCCATGACATGTTTTGGTAAGCATGAGAAGCCAAGGAGAATGATGTACACAGGGAAAGGGGGTGGGTGGGTGGCAAACACTGTCATTCAATGGTGGTTGTACCACAACCATTGGATCCCAGCCATGAGGATACCCTTCAGGAATACACTGTTTAATTAAAGAAACCTCTTCACACAAGTGCATGTTTTGTTCAGTGGTACACAAAGGATTTTTTAAAAAACTATATTCAAGAAAAATTTCAGCAAGGAGGCATTTGAAAACAATATCATAGAGGCAGGCACACTCATTGGAGAGCTACAATTTGGCCCCAGCATTCCTCCTATGCAAGCAGCTAGAATGTCCCTGAGTGGGTTGCTCTGTAACATGAAATTACCTGAGGCATCAGAACGTCACAGGCCTTTGCCAATAAAAAGGTTAAGAACATAAAGGTCGATCTACAGATACAGAACTAAACTACTGAACAACCTTCAGGACTTCTTAGGTTGCTTCTACACTCCAGCCTTTTGGTGCTATTGAGATACTGCTGTGCTACAGGCAGGTAGAAGTGGAGTTAAATGGAAATTCTACATAATACATAATCCAGTCTTGTACTGTATTCCTTATTGCAGTCATACAGAGCCTATTCTGACAGGCTAATTCATAGGTCAGCCCCATTCAGCAAATGTCTTGTTTCTTATTGTTTTTAGCTCTTTAATTACTGTGTTTTTCTCTCTCTCTCTCTTCTGAAATCACTTCTGTTTCTCAATATGTGCTTCTTTGATGAGTTGGTTCCTATTCATTTACCACCATTATATTCCTGAGCTGGCTACTTAATGAACCTGATTTATTTTATTTATTTATTTAACTTATATGCCGCCCACTCTACCCAAAGGTCTCTGGGCGGCTAACAACAATTAAAATTCAATTAAAATACAATAAAAGATAAAATGATTAAAATGCAATTAAAATTGCCATCAGGACCCATAGTTTATGTTATTTCAATTAAAAGCCTTCTGGAACAGGAAGGTTTTGACCTGGCGCCAAAATGTCATCAATGTCGGCGCCAGACGAATTTCAGATTTAGCTCCTGGGGACTGGTGTGTTTCATTCGGAACAATTGATATTCCATATTATGATATTAAACAAATAGCAAATGAGCCATTCCTCTTGCTAATGAATAAAGCAGCCATTAAAGCCTATCTCCCATGGAAGAGGATCTGATTAGGGAGACCAAGGTCATGAGTGAACAAGAAAAAAACAAAAACAAAGTGCTAGTAGCCAAAAAGCAGACACCACTTGAAAAGAAAAGGACAAGGAGATAAGCAATACCAGAGGGCCAAAAAGGCAAGAATGAAACTAGTACAGTATGAAATTATTATTAAGAATGAGGGGGAAGCATTTCACTAGTCCGCATACAAATATAACACATCACTGCTGGGGGAAAAGAGAGAGAGAGAAAAGATAACAGGAGAGACACTGAAACACTATGATTCTTGGTCTGTGGGAAGGAGCCATCTAGGAATGGATTAATCCATTCCTCCATCCAGTCCAGGCAGGAGGAATGGCTTTGAAACGGCTTAACAGTCTTGCTCCAGAATCTCCTCTCAGTTTCCTCCTCCTGCCTTTGCCCAGAACAGGCCTGGCTTCTTGCACTCTCCTCTTTCTGCTCTTTGATATCTCACTTCTTCTTTCTGGCCCTTTATAACATTCCTTTCTTTCCCATTTCTTGTTTTCTCTTTAAAATGGTGTGTGTCTTCACTCCTCCCATATTTTGCCCCTATATTGCTTTGAGCCTTTCTCGCTTTTTCTTTCTTTCTTTTGCCTTAATGGTTAAATCTGCCATTAAAAAAGATTTCAAAAAGATGTGCCTTAATGGTTAAATCTTTTTGAAGTCCCTTCAAAAATCCTTATCCATAAAGCACATTCCTGTGGCTTTTTACCCAAACTCTGCTGGGCATAAGCAACAGGTTCCTTGCTCTCTGGATCACCACACTGTCCCTGCAGTATTGCCTTTTGAAGTATTTTGTGCGTGGTTAGGTTCGCCCTCGGCCACCTCGGTGAGTGTAGGTCCTGGAAGAGATTTGAAGAGCACATAGGTTCATCCTTCTACATTCATAAAATGCTACAAGATTGACAAATATGCTTCATCAGTTCAACAGGTAGTTTCTGATTGAAGTGTCAGCCACCTCCCTCCCTGGAGACCTAGGGCTTGCTTGGGTAGGTCCCCTTTCTGGATGGCTCCTTCCCATAGACTGAGAATGGGACGTTGGCTTACTTCTGTGAAGGTCTATTCTAGTCTGCAGAGGAGCCATTCAGATCCACCCAACTGGAGGTTGACATCATCCATGCCTTAATCCACTAGCATCCCCTTTTACTACCTTGGCATTCCTATCAAGCTCCTCCTTTGTCTGGTTAGGCTGATGAAGGTAAGCTGGGAGAAGCTAGGGCAGCATGTCTGTTAAACCTTTTCAAGTCCACTCTTCGCCTGGGCTATGGCGAGGAAGGGATTATTAACCCATTCTTGAATGGCTCCTTCTCCACAGACCAGAACAGACTTTCATGGAGGTAAGCTAATATTCCATTTTGCACTAGCACTCCCTGCATTATTTGTATCAGTTGAGAGAATTCCTATTTGTTCTGAGGGGAAAAAAAAACAGTAATGTTTGGGGGTGGTGGTTAATTTTTGTCTCACAACGTTTTCCAAATAAGCTTGTTTCTTTTGAGTCTCAAGTGTGTCATTTCTGACTGATAATGCAATATAGATTGTGGAAGTAAATCAAATATATATGATTTTGTTCAGATAGTGGGAATGAACAAATACTGCATTTGGAGTTTCTTTACATCAGCAAAATTCAACCCCCTCCTATTTACACACATATTTTCAGATTCTTCTTAACTCCCCCTGTCTATCAAGGATTGTGGAATTCTTCACCAAGATTTTGATTTCTGAGAGGAGAACATAAAATTTGTAAGCTGTTTTACAAATGTATGGACCTCCTGACTGGAATTAAATAATTGACATTGGGTATTAGTCAAGGTGGAGCCATGCTGCTTCCAAGTGAAAATGTGAACCACTCCTCCGTATTGTAGTGTAAATGTCTGCATGCGGCACTGTGAGTGCTCCAGGGGGCTCGTCCCCTCCCCCCAATCCTGAACATTGTACTTCTTTAAATTCACACAGCTTTGAAATATACAGTCTGGTCAACAATCCATAGGTATAATTAATAAACTTTGCCTCCCTCCCTGGATTATTTCTGCAGATGCCCTTGTATGGTGCAGCTGCAACTGAATCAGAGCGTTGGGTTAGGCATGGGGGAGATGCATTTTTCTTCGGATTAACCCATTTCCCTCCCACAACTGGAACGCCTCAGAGATAGGTGCCTCAGCAATCAGACCTGCAAATTAAGCCCCCATGTTTACCTTCTAATGCTCAATCACAAAACAAAGCACACTAAATACATGATGAATTGATGAGGGAAAATCACATGCTATGACATTTTTCACCACTTAAAGGAGGAACTCTACAAAAAGTACTAAGGTACACTCTTGTTTGACCTAATGATCAGAGCTGAGACCCAAATCATTCAGTTAGCTGTTGTTTAATCTGCGCTTCTGCATCCTGAAACATTGTTTACTTCTGCGATTTCCTCTCACACTTTCACATCTCCTCATTTTCTTCCACACAGGAACTAGGATGGCCAAGGAGGACAATCAAACTGCTCAGCTTCCCTTGTCGGAAAATGAGTGTTCAGACAGCCTGGCATTTCTGAAACATCTGAACATGGAATTGCAACAAATCAAGAAACATTTGGCTCTAGAAGAATGCCAGGATGATGCCCCCAAATCTTCCAGGGAAGACAAACATTTCCTTCGTGTGGAGAAAGGGCTGTATTGTGCCCGCTTGATTTTGTCACTTGCCTTTTTAATTTATATTATCATCAAATGGAAACAGTAAAGTATAAGGCCAGAATACTGTAAATTGTTGGCCTTTGCAACATAGAACAAAATCCAGAAGGATATGCAGGAAACGGGGAAGATCTTACTCCCGATTTCCCCAAACCACACACATGTATTGCTGTATGTGAGGAACATGTGCCTTGTTTCAGTGGAAACATACAGTTTGACAAATTTGGCAATGGAGACTCTAGACAAAAACAGCCAGGTAACACTTCAGATGCATGTTTGCCACTCCTGCATTAAATCGAATAGAGTGTCTTAGAAAAGTACATTTGCTTTAACTTTTACAACAGCAAATGGTTGCATGAAAACGACAAGGTGTATCTGCCATCTTACGATCCACGTTTTTGAGCTAAACTTTCTGTAACAATTTTTCAGTGCCTTTTTGAAACTGTGGTTTTAGTTACCATATGATTCTTTCTAGAAGACTCCTTCAAGCTTTGGAGAGGTGGTATGAAAGATTTAGATTTTTATAGGGCTTTTGTGTCTTTCCTTGTTCTGTTAAAAGCTAACATTTCAGAAGCTACACAGTCTCTTGGCTTGCAGTTGCTATGGTCAGAGAAGCAGCAGTCAAAATTCCTTGTCTGTAGAAAGACTTAGGAACCTTGTACCAAATTACTTTTGAGAAGCCCAGGAAAATAACATTATAATTGAAGCAAAATGTAGTAGTTGCCTAATTGAAAGATGCAACTGTAGATGCTTAGAGTGATATCAATTTAATTTCGCCAAGTAAGAAACCTGGACTATTGTTCACTTGCTGTACACTAACTGCAGCGTTGGCTCCAGTTTGCATAACTTCAGGAAAATGAGGAATGCATGCAGAGAGGTAATAATATAATATAATATTCAAGAATTAGTTTGGAGTCTGCTTTTTGGTTTTCTGATCATTTTCAGTGTGATGTCTTGACACACACTTTCCGTATGTCACACATAAACAACTGTGTACTGTAGATATAACTTCAGTCCTCAAGATGCCCTCCCATGTATGGTCTTTTAAATATCATGAGTATTGTAGGCACATCCTTTAAGGGAGGAAAATTGGAATTGTTTTTATTGCAGCATAAATTGTCCCAAGTATAGCCCACACTTTCCTCCCAATATAAGTCTTTAAACTAGGGGTGCGGCCTACAATTGGGATGTTGCAAAAGAATAAAAATAAAAATATTTTAAAAAATATTTATAAGGTGCAGCTTATAACCACAAGGGGCTATAAGGAACAATACGATAACTCCTAGGCGACCAGGGCTCTTCTCCTGTTATATCAACATGGAGTAGAAGGACCACGGAATGAACCTTCCCGTTGTCGCGAGCACGCTGGAGCCGCTATTATCTCAGGCCTCCAGGAGATGCTCACTCTTCTTTTCAAGTTGCTGCCACCAGGTATTGCTGTTTCAATACCAATTATTCACAGAGGCATGTGCTTCTTTGAAACTCAAGCTTGTTTATTTGATTAATAATAAGTAATAGGTAAATCACAAGTTGCTAATCAATCTCTCCCACTCACTGAACTCACTAATACACAGAACCCTACTCTCACTGGCTCACTCGATCTAATCACTCACAGAACTCTCAATCTCCAGAACTTCCCCTCACATACTCCATACCCCCCTCTTTATATCCCAGCCCCTCCCCCTTTAGCACCACCTTCCGTTCACTCATTGGCTCCTTTTACACTGCTCAGCTGTGACGGACAGGTGAGGGCAGGGCTGAACGCTCCCATGTTCTAACTGGCTTTCCATTCTGCAACCAGTTGTACAGCTGATTTCACAACCAATGCAAGATTGGGCCCAAAGTGGGGAGTTATCTGCATTTAGGCACCACAATACTTTTCTATGTTAATGGCAACTGAGCAGAATTCATGAAAGGCAAGCAGTGTGGAATACATGGATGATAGCAAATTGAATTGAATTTACACATAAAAATGAACAGTTATATGCCACCAAGTCAGAACCAACTTATAGTGACCCTAATAGGGCTTTCAAGGTAAGTGACACATTTAAGGAGTGGCTTTACCGGTTCCACTCTCCCAGACAGTTTACATTACCAAGCGGGAATTTGAACCCTGGTTTCTAGAGTCCTAGTCCCTTGCTTTGTGAAAATGGCTGATGGCTGGATTCCAAAAGATCTGTATGGAGAATTAGTGGAGGGAAATGGCCCCAGAGGGAGGCCACAGCTGCGAGCGAGATCTGAAGGCCTTAAGAATGGACCTCAACAGATGGGAATCCTTGACATCTGAGCGTTCAGCCTGGAGGCAGGTGGTGCAGCGTGGCCTCTCCCAATTTGAAGAGACCCTTGTCCAGCAGGCTGAGGCAAAGAGGCAGTCCCGAAACCAGCAAAATCAGGGAGCTGGACAGGGGACAGACTGTATTTGTCTTCAGTGTGGAAGGGATTGTCACTCTCGAATCGGCCTTCTCAACCACACTAGACGCTGTTCCAAGGTCTCTATTCAGAGCATGTTACCATAGTCTCTTGAGACTGAAGGATGCCTACTAGAAAAAGTCCCTTGCACTATCTATTACACCACACTGATTACTACAAAAATAAACATCCAACCCTATATTCTGTCCAATGCAATGAAAGTTCTTAAGTCTACTGAATGGAATTTTATGAGGGTGCCAGAGGGTCCTAGCGTCAGGCCAACCCCCAGACTTTCCACACAATCAACCCCAAGGGGATCTCTCCAGGACCACCTTGTCCTTGGAAGATGGCCAGACAGACAGTGTCTCCCCAGAATGAGTTATGGAGGTGGAAGACAGAAGCCTTGGGGATGTCTACCCTGAGTGGCCAAAGAATGAGGAATTATCTGAAATCAGCAAGGCTCAAGGTGGGGAACAGAGGTCAACAGAATATAGAAGGGAGGAAGGGGTCTCCAAAGGCATAAAAGTGGGGGAGAAAGCAGAGCAGAAGTGGGCATACTGGCCAAGGTGCTTCCCCCATCATCTGCACCTGCTTCAGTTGGTCATTTAGGGATATTCCTGGGCAGAGCGGTAACTAGCCATTTTAGCGCCTTGGGCAAGTGACACAGCCTTCCACCCACTCTGCCCTGAAGCATGATGTAAATCCCTCATGGGAAAGGAGGAGGAGCATGTGGTATGCTTCCAAAAGAAAGAGAGTATTTATGCCTCCAAAAAATGAAAGTGCATAAGCTTGCAGCTATGATCTTTACTGAAAACATTTATAACCTGTCCTATATTACAGGATCTCAGGGTGAGTTGCAGAGCTATATAAAACAATTTTAAAACATAAGATAATTAAAACAATTTAAAATCAAGCAATTCAAAACACAATATTCAGACTTTCGAACACTGAAACCACTGCACGAAACCCTGTGAAGGCCATTTTCCTAACACTTCTTCAGAAATTCACTCTAGATCTTGGTGCCCTCTAAATGTTGGGGTTCTCACTCCACTTTAGTTATAACTCTGTTCCTGCGCTATAGAGCTCTGGAGATCAGCCACCAAATCTAACCGCAGCTGCACCATGACACTGTGAAAGAAGTTCAAGGTTGCCATCGTTGTTAGAATCTTGATATAGCTGCTTTGTAAAGGACTCATATAACGCAATAGTAATACAGTGATGTTCCATCTTTATAAAGACTCCCACGGTTTTCTAGGTTTTGCCATTCCCTTCTCCTGGGGACATCCTGAGACTGTGGAGCTTGGCCAAGGCTACAGAGGCTGGTTTTTCACCTTGAAGATGGACTGGGAAGTCAGACTCCAGACCATCCAACCTGCCCATTTAAGCATGCGTCAGATATAATAAGGCATAAACCTTACTCATCTAAAATTAAACATTTGCTGACCCAATGGGTAACTTTTCTCAGAATTACTTGCAATATTGGCTTTGTATGGTGTAATTCACAGGATCCTTTTTTCTAATAAAAGGAGTAAAGAATTTAACTTTTTCTTACTTCTTTTGAGAGGCAGCATGGAGTAAGAGCGCTCTGAGATTTGTTATATTACTGGGGAAAAACTATTATTACTTGGCCTAGGTGCTCAGAGGCAGCCACTGCCCTCAAGCATCAGATTTTGCAGTACCAGTGTATTTTTGCCATTTATTCATGGCATGGATCCACATTAATTTTAATGTACGCTCATCTCCAAAGCATTGCCCATCTCCATTTCCTCGGTTGTGGCACTGGCGTAAGAGGTTGGACTGTAAGCTTCTTTGAAGTGGCATATTTTCTCCCCACTAGTACTCTGCAAGGATCTGTCTGTGGAGTGCCATGGTGTTGATGATGAAAATGAGGCTTGCCAGGTCTGAGAATGAGCTGCTGTGCCACGAAATGGCTGGGCTCCCCTGAATCTCCAGGCCAGGCAAGCAAATGTGAGGAGCCGTGGTGGAAAGGAAGGAGCGAGTCTCGTTTATTGTTAAGGGGTGGCCATCGTGTTTGGGTTCCCAACTCCATCCCTCTCCGAATGGCACCAGGGTTCACTGGCTTCCTGTGTCTGTCCAACACGACACAGCCGCCCAGAGATCTTTGTGTAGTGTGGGCGGCATATAAATAAATAAATAAATAAATAAATAAATAAATAAATAAATAAATAAATAAATAAATAAAATACTTGCTTGGGAGCTCAGACAGGGAGGCCACAATGCCTAACTCCCTCCCTCACACATGCATGGAGAAATGTTATGTTCCCAATTCTTGTGACATCACAAGGCCCCACACCATGTCTTCACAAAGACCCACCCCAGGCATTGGGCCCCAGATATAATGAGGGGATGGGGAAGAGAATCCCGTGACAGCCCCTGACAAACAAGACAGCACTTCAAAACCATTCTGGAAAATTATTTTTTGGTTTTGGTAAAGAGGCTAAATAGGTATCCTTAGCGGAGACAAGGGCCTGGTTCAGCTCCAGCAGGACGTCTGCCTTCTGATTCCTCGCATCCCCCTGGGGAAGAGGACGCTTCGGGCCCTGCAAGAGAAAGAGAGAAAGAAACAACTAAGGGACCAGCTCGTCCACTGCCATCAACCGGCTTCAACCCAGGCGTATCCACCGACCAATTTTCTAGCAACTTCATCAAAAAATTCCTCCCGCCAACATCCACTGGCTTCCACCAGGAATATCCACCCATTCAAGGCCTGGGGGAATAGGGGCTTAAGAGGGGATCGCCACACCCACTCCAGGCATTGGGCCCCTGTGACAAGTGGGTACGGCGGCCGGGGGGGGTGAGTGGCAAAGGCGGGAAAGAGACGAGGAGGCGGTTCTTCTTCAAAATCAACAAGTTGATTTGAATAAGTACTCAACTCAACTGGATCAAACGGATCCCTTAAAACATCATCTGACAACAAGTGATATCGTTTGGGGCGCCGCATATCCACATTCCTTTCAATGTCTACCGAGGGGCCGGGCCAAAGCGCTCCCGATCCGTCATCGGCCGTAGGGGGGTGCTCCTTACTGCGCACACAGTCCCACAACAAGGATGACGGGCCCAGTCTCCCTCCGGAGGCTTCTGCTGGAATTCGGGGCCTGGTCTGATCACCTTCCGGCCACCAAGGAAATTCCGGAGGTACACCGAAACGATCCATTCCAATGGATCATACACGCGGCCGCTACTGCCTGGGGGCAAGGGTTCTGGTAGTAATCCCCTTCCTTGTCGCAAGTTGGGGAATTCCCGCGCAAGGCCCGGTGTGACTTCACTCTCGAGCATGGGTTCGGTCTGAACCCCTCGGTT